TTGCCACTTCCTAATGGTCAGCACCTGCGAACTAATTTTTCTGCCAAGAGCAAATTCATTAAAAACCAGTCATGAAGCCCTTCCCGATCCTTCCTCGTCAGCGCAAGCACACAACTTTCTGAGATTACCAAATATGGTTGTGCTTTGAAGGTGTACCCAGACTAAATTTCATGCACGCAGTGAACAGACATGCCTGGTCGAGCAGTGTGAGTGACGAATTCGGTAATACTTACTTATGGCCATGGAAACTGCAGCTCTACACCACGTGCGTCTAGATGTTATATCGATGTTTTGTTTCATCAATCTCCCGTTCACTATGCTGACGCCATGGCAACGTTCGTTAACAGAGGCTGACCACTCTGTATACCCCGCCGGACTGTCTGTAGTTTCCATGTGCATAAGTGTCTGATGTAATACTTTTGTTTACGGACGTTTAGACTGCAGCTTTTCTCAGAATTCTACTCAGACATATGAGTCTCATCCGGGATGATGTGTGATATGTTGTACTTATAATACTGCAACGGAGTTTCTACGAGTTTCCGCTCGGTCGATAAGAACTTTACTTGGTCGCGATAGGTGAACGTGAACTTAGTTTTTCGCCTTTGAATTACCCAGATTTTCAAATCGGAGACGGAATACGCTAGTCATATAAATTGACAATTTCGTCATACCCTGAAAATTGCCTTGCTTTCCACACAATACATGGAAGTGGACGGTCGGTAAATTTATTCAAAAATTTTAACTCATTTTCGGACGAAATTCGCTCGCAGATTCGGATTTGTAAAAGTATTCGATGACCTAAATATGAAAGAATTGGACCAAGCGCAGGGCCTTCGCATGCAAGACACGACGGGAAAAAACAAAAGTTAAGTACTTCTGCAGCTTTTATAACTCCCTATATGAAGAAATGTCTTTTTTGAAATTTTGTATCACAGAGTCTATGATTTCAACCCTGTATCTGGAGGCTGACGTGCCTTTCAATTCCTAGCGTCTCCAGTAAAGTCAATGACAATGAGACACCCTTATGTTAATTGATTATGGAGAAATCAATTATTAATATGATTTACTTTATATCCTTAAGGAACATGGGGCTTCAGCCGCATGTCTCCATTGCGTTCGGTTCTCTGCCAAAGTTTTCACCTAGCTCCACGTCTGCCCACATGCTTTCACCTCCTCTTCACATGACCTCCTCCATGTCACCCTTGCACTGACGACCAACTCGCCGCTTCCCATTCAAGCTCCACTCGAGCAATGGCCTGGTGTGTGATATCACTCACTTGATGCTTCGTTTTCTCAGAGTACGGCCAATCCACTTCCACTTCTTCCTGCATATTTGTTGCACAACTGGTTCCAGTTGGGTTGGTTCTCTCCCAGAGATCCCTGTTGCTGATATCTTCTGGCCGGTGGCTATCTGATCTTGAGTAGTATTGAGTGAGGACAGCTGTTGATGAAGGTCTGTAGTTTGTTTGAAGTGCCCTTCGTGACACGCCGAATCTCTGATGCGTATAGTAGCACTGACTCCACATTGCAGGTGAAAATCCGGATCTTATTTTCATTTTTATGCTGAGTGTCGTTTATCTCCACACAGACTTGACAGTAATGAAAGCTTGCCTTGCTTTCCAGATCCTCACTTCGATATTCTCATCAGTTCTATCGGCCTGTAGTTGAAACGGTGCTTTCCAGGTAGGTAAACGAGTTTGCTTCTTTCAGATTTCTCCTATTTATGCTGATTGTTGCCTGTTGTTGTTGCTGTTGGCTCGTAATATTCATCATCTCTCCTTTCCCTATACTCGCCTGAACGAATTTTTTTCTTTTCTGGATGCTTCTTCCGCCAACTCGTCACTTTTCATTCGCCTAACTTCCAGTTTGTGTGGAATTAGACATATATAATCGGCGAATCTCAAATTCCCAAGCATTTAGTGTGGGTCCGTTATATACATGTTTCCTCGTTTCTCCCTCTCTGTTGCATTATCCAATCTACGTCAACAACGAGAGTTATTGGAGGTAGCGGGCAGCCGCCTTAACTTATCCCCATCTTCACTTCGACACATTCCGTGAGTTTCCCCTTCTAGATTACTCGGCATGCAGCTCCGTCATACAACTGATGCTGGAACGTGTAACTGTTGGCGGCACTCCGTAGTAGTGAAGTAGCTGTTGAATCACCTCTCGACTGGCGCTGTTGAAGACCTCTTCGAAGTCGTTGAAGTTGGGGCAGTAAGCTGACTACCATTCCAAACCCTGTTCAACGATAATCCGTAGTGTTTCGATTTAACCGATGCATGACTCGTTTCACCTAGATCCAACCTCTTCCAGTTGACATTTTTCATTCAGAGCGGCGTGTCTAATTCTCCCCAGGATGGTGTCGCTTCGTATTTTGATTTTTCAGTTTTCAGCATCTCTGTTGTTTTCAGGATTTCTACTCTCGTCGAAGGGCTGATGTCCACTGGCGGTTCTGCTTCCACTTTTGGTATTATTGGGCGTGTTGTAGTTGGCTGTCGGTTTAGAAGTCTTGTGAAGTCTTCAGCCTAGTGTTTCCTATCCTCCACCCTTGTGGTGATTGACTTTCCATTGTCATACTTCACTGGCTTAATTTTTGTTGATAGATTTCGCATTAGGAACCTAGTTGTTTGGAAGAGGGTTGCGAGGTCTCTCTTGCCTGCAGTTTGTTCTTCTTCACTTGCCACAGCTTCATAATATCGCCTTTTGTCTTCCTTGCCACTTTTGTTTACATTTTTGTTCAGTGTATTGTAGCTTGCTTTCGACTCCTGTTTTTGTTGTTCGTCGATGCACTGGATAATCTTTGGTTTCACCATCCTTCTTTGTTCTATTAGTCACCAGGTGTCTGTAATGAGCCATTGTTTGTCTTTTCTGCTATTTCTGCCTAGACCTTCCATCCAAGTTTGACTCCACAACGCTTTCAGGCTGTTTTAGTGCTTTCCAACGCTGGTCTCTTTGCTAGTGTTGATTGCTATCTCCTACTTTTTCCTTATGATTGCAGTGAAGATGTTCTTTGTGGCCTGATCCTTCAATCGTTCAGTAATGAACTTGGCTTGTGGTTTATCTGCTGCTCCTGTATCTTTGAAAGTTTTTAATTTGATTTGGGGCTCGAGATCCTTGTAAGAGATAGTGTTCTGAGCCTACCTCTGCTCCTTTTCTTACTTTTGTGTCCAGGAAGTTGCGTCTTCACTTTCTCGAGCAGCATTGAAGTGAAGACAGTTTGGTTTTTGTTTTGGTCGTGTGATGCACCGAAACGATCCTATAGGCTCAAGGTTATTGGTAGAGTTGGACGCCTGAAGTTCATTTCCTTCTATTTTAGTCAACCATGTTGGATCGCCTTTCCTTTAACGATCGTTTTGACCTTGTCTTTTACGTTTATGGGGCAGTTATTCAAAAGTTATCTTGATGCACATTGTTCACAGATGTTGCATTTCACTTTTTGTGAACATTTCTGTTAAAATTAGTTGTTTTGTTTTTTTGAATCTTTTTACCTCCAGATCAGTTCATTCATTCCGTTGTAATTTATTTATACGTTGTATGCCTGCGTCGTTGCAGAGTTTTTTTTGTTTTTCAACTGTGTGTGAAATAGAACTGTGCAGAAGTTTTGTAAAATAGGCACATGAACATGTACGGGTGGCAGAAGCTTTTGTTTCCAGTCCGTTTATTGGTTGCTGTTACTGCTGCTGGCTCAGTTGGCTACTTATGCTGTGGAAATCTGGAAAAAACCATGTCTTTCACTTTCGTGTTTATAGCATGCAACATTCTACGAGTCAGTCTGGTGAGAACAGCATGATCAGAGTTGATACTAACATGGTTTCCGAAAAAATTAAACCCAGAGACTTTGGAAGCTAGGTTGAGGTTTTGAAAGCTTTGAACCTTTTCGAGAAGGTGATTATTCCGTCAGTATCTCTGTTATCAGTTAAAAACCAGATATGTTGTGGGAGAATCAAAGTTAAACACGGATGAGCCGCATGTGAAGCGTGAATATGTGGTGTCTGTACGTACTTTCGCAAACAGAATTAATAAATAAATTTATTCTCATAGTACAGTACATAAGGGACGCCAGTTTACAGGCATTATCAAATTGTTACAGAAATAGAACCATATTATTGAGTCACAATTTACAGGCTGTAGCAAGATATTTTTTACATGTACGCTGGAGATTATACATACACTTGATAAACGTTAATCCCAGTAGTATAAAACAGCCTTTTCACTTATGTACGATCATTTCTGTGCACAGTTGGAAAAATCTGCTAGATTGTCAGTGAGTGCAACACATCAGGAAATAAAGAAGTATTGTCTTCACATTAACAAAAAAACCAGGTCTTTGGTTGATGGGTTATAAGTGCCTGGGAAAATAATAAATCTTGAAGTCAATTTTCACACATAACTTTGTTGTGTTGCAGAATTCTTGAAAGAAACAGAAATACAATCAGAAACCTCTAGGCGGTTGGTGTTACGTGTGGTTTTCAATGACTCATGTACCAGATTAAAATGGGTGTACTAGAATTGTCTGCATTAGAGCCTTTGAGTGAAGCATTATTGTCATATGAACCTTATTTTTAGGTGGACAAATACTTTGGTGCGTAATTTGCCCTACATTCTTGTTACTCCTTAAGTAGATAGTTCAAACTTTCATAAAAGGCTGGGTAACGGAATTAATACATGAACATAAATCCTTTGCGAGTGGATCTGAATGTCACTGTCAACGTCAAATATGGTCATATCTTAAGAAAAACATTTTAATAAGTGAGGTTTGGTACTTTTCCCGTCACGCTACAAAAGGAAGTCAAGATAATTTACTTAGGTATCATAAATGACTAGACTAGCATCTTCATACGCTCATAAGCCAATGAAAACTCTTGATCCACCATATGAAGACTCATGTGAAGTAAATACGTAAAGATTTAAACCAAAGAACACCTGAAATACAAGTTCGCATTTTGTTTTATCCAACCAAACTCGTCCTTTGTTAAATTAGCGGTAAGTAGTTGTGGTTTATAATTTTGTCTGTATACCTGGTTGTAAGTTCTTGTTACAATGTTAGCAACTGCCGATTTCCTGAGAATTTTGACTATTTATTCAGTAATAGTATGGGGGAAAATAGAGAGGATCATTAATCACATTTCGCATTCTAAATCAACTCCTTCGAATCACATGTTTCGCTAAAACCGTACGGAAAACTAATGACTTGTTAGCTTATTTCGACACTACGTAACTGCGGCTTTCTATTGATTTTCTAAACCAAACGTCGCAACAACGGTTGCGATGTGTATACGACCGCATAAACATGGACGCTAGAAAGAGCTGTAGCATAATACTTGCAAGACACACTGATATACCTAAGGGGCGCATATTTTTTTGTCTCGAGTAGACAGGCAGATTTGTTTGGAATATAGGGTTGAGTTCTTTGGAGTTATAAGGTCTCCTTCGCACATGGGGTTTTATGGTGCGGCTGACTAAAGCATGTGCAGTTGCATTTCAGAATAATTTTACTTCACTACTAAGACTGCTTTTCTGTGTTTATTTTAATATCTGTTTTATATTATTTGGAAAGGCCTGGGCAACTTCAACTATCAAATTTTGGTTTCAGTTTACCATTATCTTTAGCAAACTTCACAACATGTACTTTCCTCAGATAAGACCAGCTGTGTGTATAGATATCATGTTGCCTCGCTGAATCTCAAACTCAGTCAAATCGTAAGTTGTCGCGTCAAATAACCTTAAACAAACGAGAAATACAGTTAAAACAATTAGTCCCGTTGATAAATTTGAATAAGGCATTAAGATAACAAATTTTGCGAGATGATATCATCCGTTGCAAAACACATTGTCTGGTCACAAAATCAATATTAATGACTTTCACAATTATTTCACATAACTCTAATTCAAAGCTATTGAAGGTGATGGAAGCACTTTGGATTAATCACATACAGCCTAAACCGTGTGTACAAAAATCAAAACTTCAATCTTCGCCTACCCTGCACTACATGACCTGTCTGTCTGTTTTCGACATAGAACTTTGCACAAATGTGCGGAAGTTCAAGTCGCCACATTCCGTGTAGCACGCGAAGCAAGAGAAGAAAGTACAAGAAAAGCATAATAGAAACAGTGAGCAGAGGTGTGAGACAAAGGAGTAATAAAGAAATACAAAACAGTTTCATTGAAGATCATAAGTCACAGGGAGTGGATGCATCTGCGCCACTGAGAACGATTTTGAGCCATGTCACCAATTGTTTCCAACCATAGATTTTTACCGTCCCGAGGACCCCAGCCTGGAAGTCTACACCTTCCTACGTGGCTTAGACCAACTGTTGTGGATTTCATTGACTGATGCCAAGTTTTTGTTTGACCGCCGCTAGCTTTTTTCCAGCCTGACCCTATATCCGCTAACATTGCTCGTCGAGGGAGGCGATGGCTTGGCATACGTAACACATGTCCTAACCATCTCAGTCTTTGTAGCTTCACGACTTCGTCGATTGATTTCCCCTGTTTACCTAGAACTCTACGCCTAACCTCCATGTTGCTCACCTTATTATGCCACTTTACACGGGAAATAGAACGCAGGCACCTATGATCAAAGACAGCTAGTCTTTTCATGTCTTCCACTCTCAGTGGCCAGGTCTCACAACCATAAAGGAGGACGGAGCGGACTGATGAGCAGTACACCCGCCCTTTGGTCGATAGTCGAACATCTCGTCTACGCCAGAGTCGGCGTAAACTAACAAATGCGAAACGAGCCCCTTGTATTCGTGCTGAGATTTCGTCAGAGATCAGCCCGTTGGGGCTGATGGTACTTCCCAAATAAGTGAAGCGGTCAACGTGCTCTACCACTTCACTTCCTATTTTTAAACTAGGCGTCGATGTAGTCCAGTCCTGTAACATCATCTTGCATTTGGCGGGAGCGAATCGCATGCCAAACATTCGTAGATTGCGGCTCAAGGTGTTTAGAAGACTCTGCATTTCGTCAGCGTCTTCGCCTAGAAGGACTATATCGTCTGCATATTCCAAGTCAACGAGATTATTCCCCGGTAGCAAGTCAATCCCTGAGTCGCTGAAGTCACCTAGGGTTAAGTCCATTAACACATCTATGATGAAGTTGAATAGAAAAGGAGATAATGGGCATCCTTGACGGACACCACTGGTCGTCATCAGTTCAGATGACAGCTCGCCGTAAGCCCTCACCTGGCTGTATGAGTACGAGTAGAGTGCCTTAATCAGTGCAATATATTTTCTCGGAATTCCCTTTACAGCCAAGCATCTCCAGAGAACTTCCCGATCGACAGAGTCGAATGCTGCCTTTAGGTCAAGAAATATAATGACTGTTGGACGCCGGTAGGAATGCCTATGTTCTAGAATCTGTCGGAGGGTGAAGATATGATCAATACACCCTCTTCCTGGTCTAAAGCCTGCCTGGCTCTCTCGTGTTTGTGCTTCCCGAGCACCACTCAGTCTACGCATGATTATTGAGCCTAAGACTTTAGATACTATATTAGTCAAGCTAATCCCTCTGTGATTATCACAGGAAGACTTGTCTCCCTTCTTGTATATGGGGATAATCAGTGACTTACACCAACCCGATGGGACTTCTTCTGATTCCCAGACGCTGCCTAGTACCTCAGTTAATCCGGACAGTAAGCTGTCTCCACCGTACTTAAATACCTCTGGAGTCATTCCATCAGGTCCCGCTGCTTTGCCTAGTTTCAGATTGGTGACAGCTTTAGTAACCTCAGTTAGTGACGGAGGACCTGTATCTATATCCCATTCAGGGAGGTGTTGGATGCTCGGAAGGTTGAGCGTGGCTGTGGGCAAATTAAACTGCTCCTCATAATGCTCTTTCCAACGATCCAGTCGTCTATCCTGGGAGCTAATTATAGTGCCATTTTTTTCCGAGATTGTCTCACTAATGATTTGTCTTCTCCCACCCGTTTCCCTGATGAGTCCAAAGAGTTGCCTGGTGTTGCCTATCCTCGAAGCTTTCTCCATCTCTTTGGCTTTTGTCGCCCACCACTGTTCACGGTCCTTGCGGAGACTTTTCGTAAGTTTCCTCTTGTGCAGCTTTCGCTCCTCATTGAATTCGGAGCTCGCCGGAATAAGTCTTCTAGCATCTATCAGTTCGGATGAGGCGGTGGAGATCCAGTGGTTTTTACTCACCTTTGGGTTTACCTTATTCACAGCTTTTACAGCTGTATCTATGGCTGCCTGGATATTTTTCCAAGCTTCTTCAGGGTGAGCACAGCTGTCGAACACAGATATGTGTTTAGCTAGTTCTTCCTGAAATACGGATTTAGTTTCCTGATCGAGCTGGGGACGTGATGGTTTTACCGCCAGCTGTTTCCTACGTCCGTTCAGTCGTAAGCACACCCGAGCGCGGACCAGTGCATGGTCGGTATCTACGCACGTGTTCCAGAAGGAGCGACAATCTCCTACCGACCCACGCCAACGATAGCTTATTGCTATGTGGTCTATTTGTGTCCAGCGTTGGTTTGATGAAGGGGGTCTCCAAGTCAAACAGTGTCTCTCCTTGTGTTTAAAGTTAGTGCTTACAAGAAACAAATGATTATCAGAGCAGAACTGTAGGAGACGGTCACCGTTGTCGGTTCGCTGGCACGGAACTCCATAGGTGCCACCGACATCCTTCTCAGATTGACACAATTTCCCTACTTGAGCGTTAAAGTCACCAGCTAGAACGACTATGTCTGAGCGTTTAGCCTTTCGCACCAAACTAGACAGCTTTTGGTAGAACTCATCCTTCGTTTCATCTGAACTGCAGTCAGTGGGGGCGTAGGCGGAGATTACGAAAAGGCATCGGCGAGTAGTGCAGTCCTTCCTCCTTCTTACTGATCCGTTCAGGCGGACAGCACACATTCGGCTATCTACCGGGATCCAGTCAAGCAATGTCTTTTCTGCCCTAGTACTCAAAGCTATCCCTACGCCAGCTAATCCTCGTGAACTAGCTGTGGCATCTCCTGACACCCTCAGGGTGAATTTTGCAGATTCAACCTGTTGGCCAGGTGGGGTTAGGTGAATAACCACACTTGGGTCTTGTATGCGTGTTTCTGAAACACAGCATACATCAATGGCTCGTGATGCCAGGGTCTTGGCTAGTGATGCTTGTTGTCCTATTTGGCAAAGTGTCCTAACATTAAGAGCTCCTATATGAAATTGGTGGCGCGGCTTTAAGAGGCTGTCGGTGGTGGTTTTTTGGCTTCCATCGTTTTTAGTGGACGCAGAGTGGAGAGGAAGTGGAGAGCTATCAAGTCGAGGAGTTGCATCAGTGGAAGGAAGGCAAGATGATAGAGATGAAGATGAAGACAAAGATGAGTGAGTAATAGAGAGGTTTCGTGTGCATTTCGGATTGTGAGGGCGATTGTTACTTCCCGGCTGCCCACACCGTGGAAGTTGGTTGCGTGACCGCAGAGCCCAGGGGACAACTGCTTGAGGCCGGTCACACGCGGCCTGTTTTTGTTCGTTCTTTTTTGTTTGGTGTGTCTCAGTAGCAGATTTATCACTCCCGCCCTGTGACACGGCAGCAGGAAGCGCGGTCGTTGTTAATCCGGGCCACGGCCGATCCGGCATGAAATTTTGTGATTTTGTATTGGACATGATGTTGGATTGGGTAGCTGCTTTTTGTTTAACCGCTATCCAAACAACCTGCCTGGCATGGTAGGACCTCAAGAGACATAAGTCTCAGCCAGTATAGCTTGAATAGATCATTGCGGTGTTCAAGCCCGACCACCACGTCAAGGTAGCAGCTTTCGGTCGGGACCTATCTAAATATGATTGGTCATTAGTATGTACTTTTGTTTTTTATTTAACTGAGTAAGTTTTATGAAATTTATTTTATTATTTTAGCCATGTTAGTTGTAAAGTGGTTGTAAGGAAACTACGAAATGATATCATCTCGCGAAATTTGTCTTCTTAATGCCTTATTCAAAGTAATACAGTGACATTTTGAAAAGGGGAAATAAGCAGAGATTGTTTTGTGTAGAATAGGTCGTATGCATGTCGGTATGATTTCCGTTAACATTAAATATACATACACTTTGTAAAACCCATTCAAATTGTTGCTCACGAGTTTCTCCTTTTATTTTGTTTTAGCTCGACGATGTTTTATGCACATTTCGTACTCAGTAAAAAAGGCCCTTTAGCACGTATATGGTTGGCAGCTCATTGGGATAAAAAGCTCACCAGAGCACATGTTTTTGAGACCAATATTAGTTCTAGTGTTGAAGCTATTTTAGAGCCAAAGTTAAAAATGGCTCTGAGAACTTCTGGACACTTGTTATTGGGTGTAGTGAGAATTTATTCTCGTAAAGCTAAATACTTACTGGCGGACTGCAATGAAGCTTTTGTTAAAATCAAGATGGCATTTCGACCTGGTGTTGTTGATTTACCTGATGAAGCGAATCGTGAAGCTGCGATAGCAGCCATTACTCTGCCGGAAAACATTCATGATTTTGAAGCTACAATAGCTGACCTTAAGTGAGTCTCCTTATGTAAAGTCTTTTATGCATCTAGTGAAATCAACATGAACACCATAGCTATTAATCAGAGTCGTCCTGAAGATATAACTATGCGGGAAGACTTCGGTGAAATTAATCTGGGGAGACAGGATGATGATTTTGGAGATTCTGTGTTTGACGAAGTGTCGAGCCGTGAAATTATTCGAGATGCTGACAAAACTTTTGGGGATAGTATATATCGTGGCAGCGATCATTTGTCAATGCATCATGATACTGACTTTACTTTAAATCCCGATCAAGATCTGGATGCCACTTTAATCGATGTTAAACGAGGAGGAGGCAGACTGTCAGATAGCGAAAAACCAATTAAGTCTATTGATTCTGCTGCTCACCATGATGATATCGGAATCGGTGATAATGAATTTGATGATGACTTCTTGGGTGAGTTCTTTCTCACTACCTTCTGTTCAAGTCTCTTCAGATGTTGTGGACGTACTTCATAAATCAATTCTACCTTGCACAGCAATGTTCAACTTTCTTAAGTCATATAAACCTAGTACGTAATATGCGGTTACCGTAGAATGCGGTTAATACCTGGGTGCAGTTGTGAAATTGCACTGGAAAACCAACGTGAATCATATAATATCAATTTAGGTTAGGGAGATAACTTTCGGTCTTTCAACACCTTAAGTCCGTATTTTATGTGCGTCGGTGGCACAGTGGTTAGGACTCTTGCCGACCATGCACATGGTCCCGGGGTTCGAGCCCGCACCGACGCACACCTGATATCTATGGTCGGCCTGCGAAATTTGGGCTACCGATATCCACGCTGAAAATTCCATACTTGTACCGAAAATACAGTGTGGAATCAAGCTGTAAATAAATAAAAAAAAAATAAAAATAAATATGTTCAAATAAACATTCCTTTAGCAAGTATTACCTTATGCACCCTTGATTTATGGTCATTCGGATGTTATTTCTACTGTACATGTGTTTCAAAAGTCGTAACGTTTCATGACATTGTCACATCATTCTCACTACTATATGAAAAGAAGGAATTGGATGCTTTGAATACAGCTGTGATTAGTACATCATAATATGTATGGAAGTCTATTTCTCCCCAATCATATTCCATACGAAACTAAGATGATATCGAGTAAGGAAAAGGCTGTACTGAGTAGTGTTCAAGGATTGATTTTATTTAGATTAATATAACCATTTGACTCTAAGCGACTTTGGAATATCTGATTGTTTTCAGAAAGATTAAGTCATGTGCAATATGTAAAGCTACGCATCATAGTCTAACAAACTGTAGAGTGGTAGTCAAGTCTCTAACTCAGCTTCACCTACTTTTTGAATACCTTCGATATTGTTGACCACATAGTAATTGGTAAACTACTTCAACACAATGAGGTGCCCCAAATCTTACCGACCTAATTCAACGGCCCTATGATGATGTCACACGCCAGATGATTTACAACAAAAGTAGAAACTCGGGTAAAACAGGACTGTCTACTATCACCCATGATATCCTTTGTTAATGTGAACTGGTTCATGCGAGAGACCGTAGGGAGCGAGGACACAGGCATACTTTGGGTCTACAAGAGCATTCAAGAACACGGACTTCGCGGACGGTTCATGTGTAATGTCATACCACCCAGATCTGCCAATAAGCTGACAGAAGAAGCAATGGAAACGGGGAATTTTTTGAACTGACTTCAGACTTCTACCAGCATTTTCCGTTAGTGTATACTAAAGATCAAATGACCAAAAAGGGTAAGCGACAGGGATCTTTGAAAACGAAGCAACCAAGAACGCATTGCGCCACTAATGTACCGAAGGAAAGAGTACTGGATTGGGTACACGCTGGGTGGACTGTAGAGTGATAGTTCGTGCCAAGCCCTTAAGAATAACCCAATTAGAGAACAACTAGATGGGCGTCTGAGGGTGACATGGACGAGGTCGTTTGAGGTGAGAGCTTATAAGCAGTCGTGGTCTTGATTAAAGAGGATTTCAGAAAACTGGGTGAAGAGGATATGTCTGTCTGTCTCTGTCTGTCTGGATTCAACATAGAACTTGGCACCGAAGTGCACCAGTTCGAGTTGCCACGTTCCAAATAGCCCACAGAGGTAGACAAGAAGATGAGTGAAGAGAATTAATAGAGTTTGACAAGTATAAGAGTGAAACAGAATGGGTAATGGTAGAAAGGAATATGAAAGATTACAGAGACTGAATACATCTGCGCTGGCCATTGACAACGATTTTGAGCCATGTCACCTATTGTCTCCAGCCATTGATTCCTAGAGTCCCGAGGGCCCCAACCCGGGAGTCTGCATCTCCCTACCTGACTCAGTTTAACTGTCAAGGATTTCATGGATTGATGCCATGTTTTTGTTTGGCCACCACTGGCTCTTTTCCAACCTGAACCTATATCAGCTAGTAATGCCCATCGTCGGGGGAGGCGATGGTTAGGCATGCGCAGCACGTGACCTAGCCATCTTAGTCTATGTAACTTTATAGCCTCGTCGATTGATTTTCCCTCTTTGCCCAACACTACGCCTAACATCAACATTACTTATCTTGTTATCTAGTTAGGATATGTGTTGTTGAAGCCCTTATATCTTCCACTCAAGAACTATGTCGTAGTCATAAAATCAGACGAAGTGAACTTCTGTGCAATACACCTGTTCTTTGGTAGATAGCTGATAGCTTGCGCCAAAAGTGATCTATTTTGAATAATTTCGAACAAGCCTTTTGTATTAATGCTAAGATTCCTTCGACCATCTATTGATTAAGACTGTATTTCCTTAAATAAGTGAGACTGTCAGGATATAAAATCATTTCACTGCTTATCCTTGAACTAAACGTAGACGAGACTTGCAGCTTCATGTAACATTTGATAGATGCGAATCGCGTGCCAATATTATTTCCCAGGGTGTTCGGAAGACTGAATTTACATCAGCATCATGTAAAAGATGTCATCTAGCTTTCTGAGATCGTCGGGAGCTTTGGAGGCTAGATGATATTGTTCCAAATTAGTTGCGTTGGCGTTATTATACTTACCATAATTGAAATTCCAGTTGGTTTCACAACTTCTGTTTCTGTTCCTAGTTTAATTTCGTGTTACTCTATTGCTTCACTTCCTGAGATGACAAATTAGGCTAGGCATTTCTGTACCACGTTTTGTACTGAATTGCTTACACACAAAGTAAGCGCACTAACAGTGAGTTACTTTGAATGCTGGTATTATTTATTCATATTTATATTTTACGTGTATCTCTATTTTGCAGCAGTTTAATAAAATTTCTTGTGCATCGTTTTCTACAAAGGTCGACAAAACAATCCAAATTCTGTAAATCCTCACTAACTTTCAGCTAATTATTTCTTCATCCACATGCTTTTGTTTATTTCGGTGGCATTTCCTTCCCTTACTCTTATTTACACTTTTCCGAAGTGTAGCAACTTGAATTGATGCACTTTCTTGCAAGGTTCTGCTTTGATACTTCAGCTTAGTTGAATTCAGAATGAGAAGCAATAGGTTTAGTTTCTCTTAGAGGCAATTTTCTCGTAGTTTTATACAGCATTTTTGGATGTGCCAGTCTATGGGCCATTCTTGATGTAAGTGCACGTTGTTAGCCGGTTAATCGTGATGGAGTAGCTGGAACAACATTAAAAGGCAGGTTCAGATTAAATGAAAATTAGGTACGCTCAGCTTCTCTTTTTTGAATAGGTCCTCAGATTGACTACAAACACTTTCAATTCACAATATTTATTAACTGAACAACCACCCTGTAATAGGATGAGGTCGCTCCTGAAAAAAATGGTCGGGTTACGATATATTCAATATTGTTCAACCATCTGTTTCTATTACTGTGTTTAGAGTTTTCTCTAACTTGGTCCACATGATTTTTTTCTGTGACGGTATCAACAAAATTTTGGTTCACAATATGTGGTAGATTCAAAGGGTATGATGCATCATACTTATTTTGAGAATTTTTCAACAATTGGTCTACTATAAACTATACATTATTCATTAACTTTAAGACTGAATAAATTAATGAAAAGATGTCAGCCAATTACGTCTTACTAGAAGATGAGAGTTGCATTGGGTATGCATCTTCTAGTGCATGACTAACTCGTGAAGAACTCAACAGGGCATATGACTCAGTCGACTAAGCATATTAACGGGATGAAATCGCTGACTTACCCAAACAGAATCTTTTTAATTCAAAAACTTAACCGAATGGTAATCAGGACAATCGACAAATTACAACACTTTTTTTCTCTCGTCGCTTAATAAGGCAGTACTATAACGTACAGGCAGACAGTGAAACAACGTTAGTCAAGAACGAAGAGAAGCAATCACTATTTATTAAAATAAAGATAACTTTATTATTAAAAGTCTCAGTGGCATCACATTCATTTGGCGATTTGTGTAGCATTCAGACACTCCAGTCAGTCAATCAAAATCGAGTAGCTTAAAACACTCGCATCAGCTGAACGCTATGAAGAAATCAATAAAATGCCTTACGAATTTACTTGGTAAGATCGTTCCTTCGTTCATTTTTGTCATTTGAAATGCTTTGTGTTTACGTATATCGTCTTCGTGTTTCACTGTCTAGTTCCCATTTCATACCGAGTTTGTGTAAGTAAATAAGACAGTTATCTTCGATAAGTCTATCTAAGATGGCGTTAATATCCTTATTATCTCTTTAATTGTATAATCTAGCTGAGCCTGACGATGATGATGAAAACTTTGGTGGTCGTATTGTCCATTCTTTGTTCACCGATGGTATTTTTGAAGATCCATCAGCTCAAAAACAGCTTGAAAACTTGACCTCTGAAATTGAGTCACACATGGTGACAACCCGATTCGATCTTAATCATGAAAGTAATACACCGATACCAACTTCTGGAAATGATGATTTAATTTCGACTGATGGTGCTGCAGTTGTCAGTAAACCAGTGGATGCCTTTCCTACTACAACGGCATCAGAAATAACAACAACAGAAAATGCCTTACATGTCCCCCCATCTACACAGCCAACTGAGACGACGACTGCATCAAGAATCGGTCTTGGAATAACTACGATGACAGAAAGTACCACACTGATCGGCAACGAATCGGAAGCTTTTGCATTGCCACCTATCGATACAACTTGTACAACAGGTGTTGAACCAAGAAGGTAAACTATTTTGTGGTTTCCTGTTACCGTTTCTAGTCTGTTTCGTCTGGTACGAAAACTTCTGCCATTATAGACATACTTTAATTGTTGGGTTCTCTTAGTTTACTCAGCGCTTAATTTCTTCAAACCGTGTATTTTATTGATGTATAAAAGGATTGCTTGTCACTTTATGTATAATTTTCAGAGCTACAAAACGTAAACGTCGACTCATTGTTGATGAACAGAAATCTATTCCAAGTGAAGTAATGAAATCACAAATGGAAAATACAGCTGACATCATGACTCAGTTAGACTTAGCACCACCGACCAAAAAGTTGATGTATTGGAAAGAGACAGGAAGTGTGGATAAATTGTTTGGATTACCTGGTCGCGCTATCCCATGTCAAGCACTTAAACGGTTATTTTCGCGTAATCTTTACACGGTTCCTGATGATCCTGCAGGTGAAACTTTCCAAGCATCCAACATACTTTCTGGGATATCATTCAGTTCCAGTCAATCATTACCTGATCAGTCGAATGTGTCATTAAATCCGGAAGTAACGGTTAGTCCTTGATATTTCGATAAATGTTTTTGTTTATATCTATTGAGGTAATCATTTTTCACCTCAGCACATATAGTTGTGATGCTCAGATGTGTGTGTGTGTTCATAGTTGTCTTCATACTTGAAGTCATCAATAAGAATGCGTTTAGATTTTTCATATGGGATTGGTTGTATTTTCTCGTGATAAACCCTAACTTAAAGTATACCGTCATAATCTTTGAAATTCTGAACATTCTTCTTAATATTCATCAAATTGTTCCCTCTGTCACATGTGTTCAAGCATGGTAATACCACAACACTTCTGTTCTCTTTTATACTTTTTAAAGTGTGACAAATATTGATGCACTTCTGTCAAGCTTTTTACGTTGATTCGTTAGTCGGTAATGATGTTTTCAGGCCTTACGGACTTTCTTTCAGTAGTTTAAATGTCAACATTATCTACACTGTGTCCCATGAATGGAATAAGTTTAGGTATGTTGTTAAAACTCGTTGTCATACATACTTTGCTGAATTCCTTCTTATGATATTATTGGTTTAGTAAGAAGCATCCTATTGCATCAGCAGGACGTCGGGTGACCAGAACATTGTATGTGACTTTCCGGTGTATTCATAAAGTCTGTATGTTAAAAATTAGTTAGCTATGAAAATGAATTCGCCGGAAAGAGACTCTTTGCTGAACTACTTGTCTTTTGTCTATTAAAAATTAGTTTTGCTTATACATATTGGAGATTCATTTCATCTGCGAACCGAACCGAATCATCAGCGTAAGACTACAGTGTAATAATTCACGTTGCCTTACTTCATATAAGCACACAGAAAAAAGAAATCCCATAGCACTAGAAGAGACGAAAGTGTGATAAGGAGCAATTACATGACAAATAATGAGGATTTAATAAATGTGGAAGATAGCAAAGTGAGTGCACCTGCAACATTCAGATTGTTTTAAGTTCTATCCGAATTCACTGCTCACTTACTGGTATGAAGACATACGTTCTTATTGGTAATGGTCAACTTCTGCCCCGGACTGTTGTCGGATTGGATTTCGGTTTAACTCATTTAGAATACACTTATGTTGTCAGTTTGCGTTTTGAATGGCGATGGTAACATTTGAATGAACAAAACTTTGAAAATCCTGTGTACATTTCCAACAAGGTGAAGGCTTCTGATTCATAATACTTATTTCATCTATTGCCTTATGAAGTGCTTTGTAACCGTTGACGAAGTTAATATTACTTTCCTGCATTTTGAATCTGTGCTTCAAAAACTCTTGTGATTTGTTTTTGTGTCAGAACGCTCTGCTGCATTATACTCATACTTGCACACTATAGTATGAATGATGACTTTCCTAATTGTATGTCAAGGACGGGAACGTTGTCGGCTAATGTGAACTGCCATCACCGCCAACGTATTTGCAGTCGGGGTTTGCACTTGCAACGCATCAGGGTTTACAGTTCAATGAAATACATCGTTATTTCGCCGTATCACACGTTTCTAATTTATACCATGCGGTGCTGACGTGTCATGCCTACGTGAATTAATATCAGGCTTACATCATGAAATTGTGTTTTGTTTTAGATAGTGGCAATTTCATTCACGTATGTATAATTTTCTTGTCTATGCATATCCATAGGCGTTGCAACCAAGCACTTCATTCGATCCAAATATGCAGCAACCAAACAACGTACCTGTCACTGAGTCTTTGGAAGTCACGGAGACGTTTCAAGTACCCCAGAAATTGGGTGCTATTTCGGAAATTCCCGAAGACGAAGCTTCTCAGCTCGTTACAGACGAAAAAAGGAAGGGAACACCTGCAAGTATGTTGGATTTCAGCATTGTTAATCCGTATACTACTGTTGTTCCACTATTATGTGCATTGCTATAACTATTATTATTATTAGTGTAGCAATTTTAAAAACCCGTACATTGTTCATTTTAGCACCTCATGGTATTGAAGAAAATCAGGATGATCTTGATGATGAACCTAATCATGATGATTTAGCCTTTATGGTTGAACCTGAAACACCTTATCTTGCTCCACCAAGCATTTTATCTGAAGCACCACCAAGTGTAATGCAAGTAAGTAGTTTTTGTATTATCTTTACCAAATGATTGATTGACTGACACTATTTTCTTCAAGTTATTTAGTATTTCTAGACTCATTTAGGTTGTTGAGAGTTCTGCGTATGTGTGTATGTATGCCACTAACTTCATAAATCTGTTTTATTTTCCATAGGTTGACATGTTAGCCCTAGAACGTGAATTAGCAGCAGCAGACGATGAAGCAGAAAATGACTTGAATAATGCATTCAAAGACGACGATGCATCTGGTTTACTGTCTGGTGGTTTCCCTGGTTCAGAAGCACTCTCTGTTGAAGGATTACCATCGGAATCGATTGAGGAACGACGTTTAGAGAAACGCTCCAAAGTATTATTGCGTATGTTACGTGCACACCAACAGCAGTATGGTTGGGATGAACCCCTAACTTTACAGGGTTTATGTAATGGTAATACAAAAAAACAGGTAAGCTGATGTTAGAATTCTACACCTGTTGTATGCAATTAATTAAATGGAAAATTAATACTACTTGACATCAAAATTCACTAGATTAGGATTGTGCGTGCATTGAACGTCAGCGAAATAAGTTCCATCTCTTAATTTTGAAGGTTGACCTGACTTCGTTATTGATCAGAAATTACAGATTGTGAAGATGCATTGGGGATGAATTAAAAGTGATTGTAACCTGACCTCATACAGTGACGTACAAGGAATCCCAAAGTTGTGTATTCAGGTTTAATATTTAAATAGTACTATAACTGAGTTACAATTGCATAAAAACGTGGTGTTTATCTGAATGATCATCCAGTTTTCGGTTATATTCAAGGGAAGAGTTCAGAAAAAGCTGTGGTGATCAACAAAGCAATCTAAAAATTGTGCTACAAAGGAAAAGGAAGGTCACTAGCAAATAAAGTAATCAAATGATGGGAATCAGTGTATGCATGAAATTAGTTGAACTATTGAAAGTAAGTAACTAGCCAAAAGGTAGGCAGCAAGTAAAGAAGGATAGACTGAAGAGAAATACAAATTGCAATAGATTTTAAAAATGTCATCCTATCCCATCCAGTCTACTGTATGCTTGTGTGTAATTGCATGCAGTGATTGCGATAGCTGAACTATTCTCTAGATTTCTTATCTTATTCGGGTCAACTAATCTAGATTTTGTTACGTTTTTATGTTTAGCTAGTGCAACTGCCCCTGTTCTACTAGTTTCACCTATGTATTTGACCTGACAATCATTCCAACAGGGTATTAGATAAACTAAATTGTTTTGTTTAATAGGCTCCACAAGATCTTTTAACCAACAAAGCTTGTTTCTAATTGAGTTTGTGAGTTTGAATGCTACTTTTATTCCTGCCTTGTCAAGAATTGTGCGTAAGGTTTCCGAGGTTCCTTCCTTGTATGGAATTACTACTGATGATTTAGATTCCTTATCGCTGGTATTGTCTTGCGCATATCGTCATTAATATTATTATTATTGTCATCACCACTATTATCATTATTTATTTTATTTTTACATTTCCCTACATATTTCAGGGTAATTATTAAGTTTCAAAGCTTCTCTTATATGTATCACTTCCTGTCTTAGATTTTCCTTGGTACTACTTAGTTTTTGTGCTCTGTCACTGAAACATTTCACCAATCATATTTTTACTGAAATAGGATGGGTGGGATGATCAGAAGTCCGAATATCTGTTTCAATGTGTGGGTTTCCTGTAAACACTAGTGTTTAACTTCCCATCTTTTCTTTTTACGCTGCAATCTAACCTTGGAAACTCCCCTTCCTGACTTTCCAATTCACAAGTGAATTCAATTGCCTCGACCTTTGAGTTAATGTGTTCGAAAAATCTATCCATATCCTGTGTTCTAACTACAGTGAATGTGTCATGTACGTACCTCCACCATACTTTTAGGGTGGGGGTGAACGTTTCAATCGCTATCTTTTCTCACCTATCCATGAAAATATCTGCTACAACCGGGGATATTGGTGATCCCATGACAACTCCCTCAGTTTGTTTGTATATTTTTCCTTGGAATTTAAATACTGTGGAGGTCAGACATAGCTTCACTCGCAGCATTATGTCCTCAAGTGGCACTTTCGTCCTAATTTCGAGTTCTTGGCCAGGAATGAGTTCGAGCCCAGTAGTAGACATAAGCGACAGTCTCACTGTAACGGAGGTGAACAGGTTGTTGGTTTGGTTATGCGAGAGACAAGATTAACTATGACAATTGGGACAGTGGCATAATAACGTTAGAAATTATGCTAAGATCTCAGAATCGTTTTATCGTTGGAATGTGCTCCAGGAGCGAATCCTAAAAGTCATGAGCTCTGTGGTAGACTAAGCAGAAATATCATCTGCAGATCAAGTTAATTTCCCTTAACCAGGTTTAATTACACTGGTAATCTTCAAAGGTTTTTTCGTATGAGGTGGGTGTCTTGCTCTATGTAGTGTTAATGTGGGATTTGCTATTAATTTCGCCTTATTTAACTCTATCTACCACACATCCAAATCAGAAATACTTGTCCCATAACCCCTTTGCTGTAAAAGGTGTAATTGAATGGTGTTTTCTTTCCGATGCTCACCTTTGATATGCTGAGTGGTTTTTCGATTTTGTAAATGTTTAGTAACTGAGTCTGTATGTTTCATCACTTCAATTGTGGATTAATAAGTCATCATTTGTGGCAGAGCAAAGTCAACAAGACTTAGGCCATTTATCATAAAGTTAATTCTCGGGGGTGTTTACGATGCTTTTAGTTCATCAGATTAGCTTAATATGTAATAAGAGTTGGTATAATAACCACCGATTAGTGCGAGTAGTTTCCAACTACTTATATATAGTCACTAGTTTATACCGGTCGCGTGTCTGTTTACAAAAGTGTTTGTATTGAAAAAGTATATCACTTCACTCTTATCTTTTAAAAATGTATTTTAGGCGGCGTCGAAATTTTACACCGTATTGTTACTTCGTAAGCAAGGTGCTGTGGAATTGGCACAAGAAGCTGCGTATTCAGATATTCATATATCCCGTGGACCAAACTTTTTCCGTTTGGTAGATAACTAGTCCTCTTCACCATCATTTTCTACTATTCTCTTTGCGCTTTACATTTCCTCGTAACTATCACTATATTCATTTTGTTTGTGCTTCTTTCATGCTTACTGTTGTTTTAGATGTCCGAACTGATTAGATGTGTAAACAAACAAACATTTTATAAACATCCATATAGGTTATTATAATTACTTTACTATACTATTCATAAATGCATTTACGAAGGGTAACCCGTTTCCGTTGTACTCCGTGTTATCCTCTCGTCAATTTTTGTATACTGAGATCTGTAAACATATTTTTTGTACTTAAAAAATAAAACCGTCAATTCAAGATTGTGTTTAACTTTCAGATATGTGAAGGTACGACATATTGGTTTAAGCATATAACTTCTAACCAGTGGGTTTCGGGTTCAAATTCCATTTCAATCTGTCCTGATAACCGGAGCGTATCATAATTCCTCAACTTAAGTAGCACACGACACAGCATAATATCTAGATAGCAAGTCAATTCCTTGAGAATCATGAGTGAGCAAACAATTCCAGATTTGTATTCACGTCATCATGTTTGATGACATTTTGGCGTAATTCTCGATATGACGACTTGAAACTGAATGGAACCATCTGAATAACGCTGCTTGAGCTTTAGGTGTTATTTTGCTATGCTAGGAGTTTTGATAATAATTGAAAACGAACAGTGAACATGTTTGTCGTAGGAGATTGTGAGTACATATTACGTGAAGATGATGCTGAAAGTTTCATCGATTATTATTCAGTGGCTCATTTGAACGTGATATGGTAATATTCTATACACGTCATACTCAAACACTTCAGTCGATGGGATATTCTGGTTTCCGCAGTTTATCGAAGTCTAATAAATGCACACCCTATACTATGCAGATGACCTGACTGTTTCGCTTCCCGTTAAGTCTCAGTCAGACTGCTTCAAATTAAATAGCTTGCAGTCTGACACCAGTCAGTGGTCTAAACTAAATGGTCTCATGCTGAATCCCTCAAAATGCAAGACTATTGACTTCTCCTTTAGGCATAAACGAGATCTACAAACACTAGTGAGCACTCATGAAGCCTGTAGCGTTGAGGAGACTAAAATTGAAACTAAGTCCAATGCAAAATACCTCGGATTAGTTCTATCTTCCGAACTTACTTGGTCATCTCATATCCAAACGATTTCCATGAAAGTGTTTCGTCTAACCTACTACATTAAGAAACTCAGACTAACTGGAGTCCCTCAACCTCTGCTTTCACAATTTGTCAACTCTCGTATCCTACCTATTCTACTTTTCTGCTCCCCGGTAGTCTTTCCTGGGTTACTGAAAAAGGACTATACCATCATGAGAAGGTAGTTAGTAGGACTAGCGGTGTAAAACTCATTCAGCTCGTCACTACATTAGTGGATAAGCATCTGAATACATGTGAGAAGTGGTCTAAAACCATACTCTCTGACCCCCAACACCCCCTCTATTCCCAACTCTCTCCTTGCATCTCATCAGGTAGAACCAGAAATCAGTACAAAATAATATATGCTCGTACAACCAAGTATAGGAACTCAACGATACCATATTTGGCCCGTGTTCTAAGTGACAGAGACAACGTTAAGCGTGAAACCTATGACTTGCTTTGTTGTTAATAACATAATTTTGGCCCTTGTTATTTCCCCCTTATACTCTCTTATTTGTACTCTATAGTGAACAACCTTAAACATACTTAGCTGCTTAAAATTAATTATCGTTGGCTTACGTTTTTGTACTTTACTCTATTCCTTCTTTTGTATATTTACTGGGTCCGACTATATTATCACTGTGATTATTAAAAAAATTGTCCTGTCATTAACCATCATGTAATATTAGTTTTGTGGTTGTTCTTTGTTCGGCACTATTTAACTGACAATCTTGTTTGTAAACGCCACTATCACCATCGTAAAAATTTTGTATTATGCATCATTACTAACACTACCACGACTACTAACACCGCATTAGTGCTGACAATAAAAAAAAACACAACCTGAAATGTTTATTTTATGATTGTTTAGTGTTGTTCAATCAAATTAACTGATCATCTTGGCTATAAATATTCTTAAGAACATCTCATAATTTCTTGTATGATTATAGCTGTTACTGTTCACCACGCATACACATAGCATAGCTTCCATAACCCAGTACTGAAATATTTTTTCACTATTAGTGTTTAATTTCCTTTCTACTTGGTATTTTTTATTTGCATTTATTTTTATTTTCCTTCGTTTTTTTCTTTGTTATTTCTGAGTTTCGTTTATTGGGTTTATTTTTGTCGTGTTTTTTTTATATTTTTCTTTTGTAATTCTCCTTTTTAATGTACGATGGAATTAGATGCAATATTGTAGATATGTGCTGAAAATTCCCCACTGTACCACAAGTACTGTTTCTGGAATAAAGCGAAATTGTTATTGTTATTGAATTAATATGTTTCAGTAGAAACGACAGTTCTAGTTCTGACTATCATACAGCTAACTACTGAACTTGAAGTATAGAACGCTATATTAGTCAGATTAATGTACCATATTTAATCACAAGAATTCAACTGTTGTTCCTTAAACTCCAGTTTTAAGGACAACTGAGACCTATTTTTATCCCTATATACCTGTTCGTATGTAACTATTTCAAGTTGAATCACCTGTTCTACAAATTGTACTACCCAGTGATTCTGGCTTAGAAGATTATCAGCCAGCTATTTTCACTGGAATCTTTTAGCAGCTGTTCCGATGGCAGGAAGGTATGGGAGACTGAGAGTTTACCTTGACTAAGCAGAACTCGGGAGGAACAGACAAAGGAAAATCAAGCAGGCTTTAGACCAGGTAGAGGGTGCATAGATCATATCTTCACTCTTCGACAGATTCTAGAACATAGACACACTTTTCGGCGTCCAACAATTGTCATATTTCTTGACTTGAAGGCGGCCTTCGACTCCGTGGATCGAAAGGTACTATGGCAATGTCTGACTGTGAAGGGAGTGCCAAGAAAGTACATTGCACTAATCAAGGCACTCTATTCAAACTCACGTAGTCGTGTAAGGGCTTATGGGGAATTGTCATCTGAATTGGTAACAACCAGTGGTGTCCGACAGGGATGTCCACTTTCCCCATTTCTGTTTAACTTCATCATAGATATGCTGATGGAAGTATCCTTAACTGAACGTAACGACTTAGGAATCGACTTGTTACCAGGGAATAGTCTTATGGACTTAGAATATGCAGATGACATAGTCCTGTTAGGGGAGGATGCTGAAAAAGTGCAGAGTCTTCTGAACACCTTGAGCAGCAATCTTCGTATGTTTGGCATGCGATTCGCCCCTACAAAATGTAAGATGCTGCTACAGGACTGGACCACGTCAACTCCTAACTTAGTGATAGGGAGTGAAGTGATAGAACATGTTGACCACTTCACCTATTTGGGAAGTTGTATTAGCACCAACGGACTGATTGGCGATGAAATCTCAGCACGGATCCGAAAAGCTCGAGCTGCTTTCGCTGACTTACACCATCTCTGGCGTAGGCGTGACATCCGGTTATCAACCAAGGGACGTGTGTACTGCTCAGCAGTTCGCTCCGTCCTTCTCTATGGCTCTGAAACATGGCCAATACGCGTTGAAGACATGAAAAGGTTGACTGCTTTCGATCATAGATGTCTGCGATCTCTGTCTCACGTTAGGTGGTTTAATAAGGTAAGTAATGTTGACGTTAGGCGTAGAGTGTTGGGCAAAGAGGGAAAATCAATCGACGAGGCTATAAAGTTACATAGACTAAGATGGCTAGGTCACGTGCTGCGCATGCCTAACCATCGCCTCCCCCGACGGGCATTACTAGCTGATATAGGTTCAGGTTGGAAAAGAGCCAGTGGTGGCCAAACAAAAACATGGCATCAATCCATGAAATCCTTGACAGTTAAACTGAGTCAGGTAGGGAGATGCAGACTCCCGGGTTGGGGCCCTCGGGACTCTAGGAATCAATGGCTGGAGACAATAGGTGACATGGCTCAAAATCGTTGTCAATGGCCAGCGCAGATGTATTCAGTCTCTGTAATCTTTCATATTCCTTTCTACCATTACCCATTCTGTTTCACTCTTATACTTGTCAAACTCTATTAATTCTCTTCACTCATCTTCTTGTCTACCTCTGTGGGCTATTTGGAACGTGGCAACTCGAACTGGTGCACTTCGGTGCCAAGTTCTATGTTGAATCCAGACAGACAGAGAGTGTACCATCAATGTGGAACGAAGCCATTATCGTCCCCATCTTTAAAAAGCGAAAGAGGTTTAAAAGGCTTTAGCGAATGGTAACACCAGACAACTATTTAGGCTTATCAGGGAGTCAGGTGGTAAAATGCAACCGACAAGTGAAATAATCTCGGAGAAAAATGACACATAATTAGCTCCCAGGATAGACGACTGGATCGTTGGAAAGAGCATTATGAGGAGCAGTTTAATTGGCCTACAGCCACGCCCAACCTGCCGAACATCCAACACCTCCCTGAATGGGATATAGATACAGGTCCATCGTCCCTAACTGAGGTTACTAAAGCTGTCACTAATCTGAAACATGGCAAAACAGCAGAACCTGATGGAATGACTCCAGAGGTATTTAAGTACGGTGGAGACAGCTTACTGTCCGGATTAACTGAGGTACTAGGCAGCGTCTGGGAATCAGAGGAAGTCCTGTCAGTTTGGTGTAAGTCCCTGATTATCCCCATATACAAGAAGGGAGACAAATCTTCCCGTGATAATCACAGAGGGATTAGCTTGACTAATATAGTATCTAAAGTCTTAGGCCCAATAATCATGCGTAGACTAAGTGGTGCTCGGGAAGCACAAACACGAGAGAACCAGACAGGCTTTAGACCAGGAAGAGTGTATTGATCATATCTTCACCCTCCGACAGATTATAGAACATAGGCATTCCTACCGGCGTCCAACAATCATATTTCTTGACCTAAATGCGGAATTCGATTCTGTTGAACGAGGGGTTCTCTGGCGATGTTTGGCTGTTAAAGGAATGTCGAGAAAATACATTTCACTGATCAAGGCACTCCACTCGAACTCATGCAGCCAGTCAGTTGAGAGCTTACGGCGATTTGTCATCTGAAGTGGTGACAACTAGTGGTGTCAGTCAAGGATGCCTATTATTCCCATTTCTACTCAATTTCATCATAGATGCACTAATGGACTTAGCCCTAACTCACTTCGGTGACTCAGGGATTGACTTGTTGCCGTCAGGGAATAATGTCGTTGACTTAGAATATGCAGATGATATAGTCCTTCTAGGCGAGGACGCTGACAAAATGCAGAGTCTTTTGAACACCCTGAGCTGCAGTCTACGAATGTTTGGGTTGTGAGTCACTCCCGCTAAATGTAAGATGATGTTACTGGACTGGATTACACTGACTCCTAGCTTAGAAATGGGGAGTGAAGTGGTAGAGCGTGTTATTTGGCAAGTCGCATCAGCCAACACGAGCGGGTTGATCGCTGACAAAACCTCAGCACGGATACAGAAGGCTAGTTTCTCATATGCCAGTTTACGCCGTCTCTGGAGTAGACGTGATATCCGGTTATCGACCAAAGGGCGGGTGTACTGCTCATCAGTCCTCCTTTATGGCTGTGATACCTGGCCGCTGAGAGTAGAAGACATGAAAAGATTGGCTGTCTTTGATCATAGGTGCCTGCGTTCTATCTCCCGTGTGAAGTGGCATAGTAAGGTGAGCAACATTGAGGTTAGGCTTCGGTCGAGTGCTAGGTAAGCAGGGGAAATCAATCGACGAGATTGTGAGGTTACATCGATTGCGATGGTTAGGACATGTGCCTAGTCATCGCCTTCCTCGACGAGCAATGTTAGCTGATATAGGGTCAGGCTGGAAAAGAGCTAGCGGAGGTCAAACAAAAACATGACACCAGTCAATGAAATCTACAACAGTTAGTCTAAGCCACGCAGGAAGGTGTAGATTTCCTGGTTGAGGTCCTCGCGACGGTAAAAACCAATGGTTGGAAACAATTGGTGACATGGCTCAAAATCGCTCTCAGTAGCGCAGATGAATCCACTCCTTGTAACTCATGATTTCCAATGAAACTGTTTTGTTCTCCGTTATTACTCTTCCTTTGTCTCACACCTGTTTACTGTTTCTATTATGCATTTCTTGTACTTTCTTCTCTTACTTTGTGTGCTACATGGAGTGTAGCGACTTGAACTGCCGCACATATGTGCAAAGTTCTATGCCTAAAAGAGACAGACAGACCTTAAACCCAAGTTAACTCCTGTTTTATGATGAGCTAACTCATACAGATCGGCTGGATTGATCTATAAAAATAACTTCATAGTTTCCTACACCAAACAAGATTCGGAATCTGAGTGCACGATTCTGACAACGATTAGGATGTTCGATGTAAATCCGATTCTTCAGAGATGCAGATTTTTTACAGCTCCAAAGAGACCAGTACTAGATATTCGCCTTGTATCATTGTGTCAAAGAAGTATTCAAAAGGAAGAGCACTATGCTAACTAGCATGGTTGATTGCAGAAGTGACTCATTTGCTCATCATTGGCACATATCAAGTGTAAAATGACCTTCCTTATTTAAAAATCGGTTTAGGATACAGAATTTATAAAGTCTCAATTATCGTATACTGCAGAACAAAATCTGAATTAATCCATAAGAACGAAGCATTTTGACCTCAGACAGGAGTATTATATTTTGATATGATGCTCACTAGCAAATGGCGCTATTCAGGCAGTTACCTTAGTTTCTTGTGGGACGCCGTAGGGTAAAGTAGTTCGAGGGTGATGACAATAACTCATCCAAGAAGACAATGCGAAGTGGTGGCGCTATGTGGTGAATAGGCAGAAGTTAGAATTTATGGGACATTGTACCGGGTCCCAGTAGCTTAATGTTCCACGAGCTCGCCTTGTAACCAGAAGGTGCTGGGTTAGAACCCCTGTGGTGGGTGGGTACTAGTAAAGAGTCCCAAAATAGGAGGAAACAGCTGTACAGTACTCCCAAGTTTTTCAGTGGTTCTCTAACCGATGTCAGCTCATGGTGAAATCATCCAACCAATCAAACGAATTCTCTACAAACCCATATCGGACAACCATGAATAGTCTCACCGTTAAGTGGGATGTTAAAAGACAACATTGATTTTAGACACATGACTGCTCTAAAAATGTGAATTTCCCTTTAACCTCGAGAAATCACTTTATCCAGACCAAACACTTTAACTATTGTAGCTTTTTCTTCATCTACTGGAAATGATCGCTAGAGGAAATGTAAAGGGTACGGTGAATATGCGAAACACAGGTTGATTCAACAGAATGACTTGACAATGATGACAGCTAGTAGAATTTTTCGATAAAAGTAGCTCTCTAACAACTTTCTTAGTTTCGTCCACTGAACAGTACCATTTATAACACAGTTTAACTGCTCCTCTATGAATGAATGTTCACAGACTTTGCAAATAGTCCCATTGACCTGAAAACTGTTGAACAGAAGTATAATGTTAGACTTTTTTATCTTTACTTATCTCCATGTCGTCTCCAGGTGAAATGCATCACCCGTAACTAATGCACATCTTTAAAATGTCTTTTGCACAATACTGTAGTCTTATAGTCGTTCCTCAAAATAAACCCGAAATAGGAATAAAAATATGAATACCACAACTTCAAAAATATATTTAATTGCCAAATATTGTTTTTACGTGCATAAAAAATATGATGTATTTTCAAAATTTACAACCTATTCAATATTCAGTTCTCAATCTAACAGACCATTTTCGAGCATTAACTTTGCGACTCTTTCTTCTATTTCAGCATTTGATGGCTGTTTAAAATGCTTTTTAAACGGCTTATGCTTTTTTACCGCTTTCTTTTTACTTGTATTTACATTTTTCGGATTATTCACTTTAAGGGATACTGATTCCTTATTCGATTTCACTGTGTCATCTTTGTCATTATTTAATTTCAACAGCTTTAATTGTTCACAAAATGTTGAAATTGTGGTTGTTGCATTTGTTGAAGATTTAAAAAATGATACAGTCGATTGAACATCATTCAAGATTTTTAAATAGTTGTCAAGTAAGTACAGGGCATCGTTAACATATTTACTATTGTCTTGATAATTCATTAGTTTCTCTATAATTACTTCACGTACATATTGATGACGTGCATTACATGATTGAATTTGACTTATACAATAATAAACTTCATGAAAAAGATATCCACTTGGAAATATACAGTAGACTTGCGGTAAAACTAGACAAGTTGGTAGTTTTTCTCTTTCAATATCAGTTACCAAAGAATTTAATAGATTAACTAGAGTAGATATAATCATATAATAAATCTGCAGTTGACCGTATACATGTACAATGTGTATATTTAACTTATGTTGATCACTGATCCCACGTTTCTTTCTATTATTTGTGTTCAGTTGTGTTGTAAAATAATTTGCACAATTACGAAAATGTTTCTTGATTGGTTTACAATAGGATAGATGAGAATAATTACAGTGAGATATTAGAAGGTATGTACATATGCAAATCGTGCTGAATGTAAGAGAAACTGGACACAAAGTGATATCATCAGTAGTTGATAAACATTTACTCCGATAGATTAGAACATTTAGTAGAGCAACAGATGTTAACCAACTGTTATTGCACGATTTTGTAGGACTGTATATCAAACCTAAATATTCTTTCAGAAAGGCTAAACGACGATCTGATTCATTTATCTCACTGTTTGGTAGTAATTCTATCGGTTTCACTAACACTTTACGACGTTTTATGTGAAAACTGCCTTTTCGATCAAGTTCAGTAACATAATATGACTGACCAACTCTTTCTACACCAATTAGTTTGTCCGGAAAACGAGACGTGAAACTCCACTCAACACCCAAGATAAGATTGTATATTAGTGAACGAAGATACACTGAATCTGAGTAGATTGAATTATGATTTTTTAAAGCCTCTATACCACAGACAAATACTGAACCATAAGATAAAATACTATCCAAAAATATTGGAACTATCTGATACTTTCGAAATGCGTCTAGCAACATTCCAGGCCAGTAAGATGTTACTTTATATGATTTGGTATCAACATATTCATTATTGGTAGTGTGTATACGGATCCTATCATCGATATTTTCATCTGCTTTGTCATTTTTGATATTTAACAATTGACTATCATCAATGCACCCGTCAGTTTCAGAATGGCATGAAGAACCAGATGTAGACAAATGATGCACGAATGACGAATACGTACTACAACTATCCGATTCCGCATCAAATTCCTTCTCTCTACACAGCATGTCATCATGCATAGACAAAGATGGAAGATATTTTGCAAAAATCAGATATAATGATTCTGGATCAGTTTTGTAACTTTGTATGCTTTGTGTCAACTCACTATACCGTTTAGAACGTTCATCTTTTGGATATCTATCTAATATACGATTAATTGGCTCTTGAGTGTTGGCTCCAAAGTCTGATAACCATTTAATAAGGCTGGTTATCAAATTTCTGCGACGTTTCATTTTCATTTCTCTGCTTGCAGCCTTGTTCAGAAATGTTGTCTTTCCATGAGATACTGGTAATGCTTTTAGAAATTTTTCTGAATCGATATAATCATTTCCCAGTAAACTTGCTAACAGTGGTCGTTGAACATCTGGCAGTCCTCTTAAACCTGATCCATTAGGAAGAAACCTTTGACAGTTTAAATAAGCGCATATTTTATGCTGACGTCGACAACAAGTACTACATTTAACAGAGTTGATGACTGGTTCAAAGGAAATATAAGTCATTGGCAAAAAGCAGACACCTTCTGCATTACTTGGTATGGTAATATAAAAGTCCGAATCATTACTTATGACTGGACATTGTAAATAAATGCCTAGACTTATTACATCTTGATCTGATTCTCCGTCAGAGGTAATATAATCAACTTTCAAATTTTCCAGTGACTGAACCAGAGTAATAGTAGCTAAAGGTGGTAAAATTTGTACACATAATGAAATATCAGCTGGGCATAAATTATGATGATCAATTTGTTTTAATAAATTCCGACACGTCTGCATTCGTTGATGATTTCTTTTCACTTGTGTACTTAACTTGAAAGGCTGAAAACAAGTAGAGTTAAAAAATAAATCTAATTTTAGAAACTTGACACGCCTTACTCAACGTTATAGATCACATAAGGATACACATGCACAATAGTAGTCAAAAGTAGTCACGAGATTAACAGGTCAGTGTAAAACCACCCATAGAAGATAAGAGGACATATTTCAATACAACAGCACAGAAAGAGTGTTGTTATTATAGTTAACGAACATGTAACGTAGGAAAATGTAATACAGTTAGGGGTAAATGAAAAACGTTCACAATCTTACCAATAAAAAGTGAATCAACCACATTGTTAAAATCGACTGTGCGTCTTAATAATGAAAATCTTCATCTTCTGATGTTCAATACCGTAGAGAACTGCTGGAACCAAACTCACTTAGCTACATATGCTGAAGGAGAAAACTAGCTAAATTCGCACAATTTCTTATGTCGTCACATCCCATCAAAATCAAACAGAGATAAAGAAAATAAATACGTTAGCACAACCTAAGCCAGTGCGGGGGAGAGAATAATTACATGAAGAATGAAGACTTGATGAATCTGAGACATCGAAAGGAATGAATGCATCTGGGCCACTGAGAGCGATTTTGAGCCAACAGTCTCAAGCTATTAAGTTTTCAGAGTCTCAATAAACCCGACCAGGGAGTCTACACTTCTTAACGTGGCTCAAATCAACAGGCAAAGACTTCATGGGTTGATGCCATCTTTTGGTCTTCTTTGAGCTTTGTGTGTATCTCTGCCCTGCTGCAGAGAAAAAGCCTGAGACACGAATAACAACTTTCTATTTCCTACCAGGAAACTCATGCAGTAGAATAACACAAATTTTTGAACAGTGCAATGTGAATATAATTAGTAGTTTATGATGGTAATAATGTAAACAAAAATTCGAGACCAACGGTGCTCCTCGATAGCTTCATCACTCTTAGCCACAGATGGTCTCTATCTAACGGTGATCAAGTGGCTCGAAGATACTATTTAACTATGGCAGAAAACACCCCAAGTGCCAGCTGTCACACTTATGTGGGTGTGAGGTTTCAATGCCGCTATGACCTACACTGGCTGGAATTAACTGTTTTGCATGCTCTACAATACCACATAGATTATTTGGATAGAGGTTAAATAAAAAGCAGTTTCCATCATAGTGTAAGCCGCAACACTGTGTTCGAATTTCAAGGGCAAAGTCGTACTGCTCGCAAATTGGGATGAAACAGTAACCAAGTGTTTCCAACAAACTCACAATAAACCAAATATGCTGTCTCTCCACGATACTCTTCCGTATCTTCTCAAAAGCCCCGTTTACGCCTCAACCAAGTTTGAAAACAAGTCGTTTGTTTTGATGTCAGAAGTAAACGCTCAGGTAAAATCATTTTAGCTATTGACTTGAATGCTTACTTTAAATAGTTTCGAGACTTGGCAACGTATATTAGTGTCACTTATAGCGTCCTGTGCTGACGACCTGACAATGGTGATCGTCTTGTACACTTCTGTTCAGACAATCACCTGTTCCCCGTCAGCACTAATTTCAAGCACAAGGGGAGGCATTGCCTAACCTGGTCACCTCCATCAACAGATCAAGGATGAGCGGAAATAGATCAGGTAGCTATAAGTTGTGGGTGCAGAGGGTCAGTCAGTAGTAGACTGTTGTTCTTTCTCAAACACCTGTGTAGACGGGCTCTGATCACGCACTAGTCCGTGCACATATATGCCTATGACTGAATGGAGATAGGAGACAGGCAGTTATAGAGTCGACAGGCCTTCAACTTGATGAGGACACGAAGTGTCTATTTATTACAGAAACTTTGACAGTCAAATCCATCTTGGTAAAGGCTTCCCCGCCACTCACAGTTCTATACAGATCGAAGGGTAACTATAAAGGATAACTATATTACTCGAGAAGCTACATTAGGAAATATCAAGAATCCCGCATACATGTGAATAGAATCACTAGATTTATCCGAAAACACCGATAACACTTATCCACGACAAGCAGTTTACCAGTATAAAATCTCGTAAACGATCTAATGCAACACCTAGCTACCACAATCTGTAGAGAGATGAAAGACTCAAGAATTTCAATTTCTAAATTTAAGACTACACCAGACTGTAATGATTTAAAGGCTTTTATGAGGCAACAACACCACAATTCTTCATTACTCATTTCGTGATACCCCTAAATTTACACAAGTTATCATATCTCAGTGATAGTTATGTCAATGGAAATCTAGCAGAGATCTCGACGAAAATATGGATTAAACGCATTGGTGCTTCTGCGACCTGTTCCCTAGCATATCATTTAAAAGTGTCGTCTATCTATTTTAATTGTTTCGTGGCACAATCAACCATCAATGGCAATATGTTAGCATCTACTGAGACGTGATTACTTCTGTCTGTTTAGGGAGATGATAGAATACGAAGCGTAGGACAGGAAAAATATTCAGACCACAAATATTGATCTTAGTGTTAGCCGAGCAATTGGAAAAAGTGTGGAAGAAAGTTAGAGATCTAGACCAAGAATCCTTAGAGATAAACTGTGTTATGAATAGGTTGATAACTTCGGATGACATCCAGGAGTTTAATCCTTACTAAGTGAAGTGAAATTCGAATTCGCCACTCAGTGTTCAGAGATAGACTAATTAAACGACTGAGACATTTGAATGAATGTAGGTTGTGTTAGGCTCCATTATTTTGCAAAAGGCTTATCAGAAGATTACAGTACCATTGGTCTGAGTTGCTTAGGTGTTAGTATAAAGAGAATCAATGCTGAAGCATACTTCGAACATTTAGGTCTAAAGGACAATGCAATACTTGCCTTTTTAAGCAGTCCGTCAGTATATTATGAAACCATTTAAAAACTGTAAACAAAGCTAGGTCGAGAAAAGCACACATATTACGTTCAACTTACTTCGTGACACCCATCAAACACAAAGATAGGATTAACGTTACATCGTCTTAGTGAGCAGATGAAATGATTAATTGTTCCACTGAATCCCATATATTCCCCATTAAATTGAGTATATATTCCAGATTTGAAATACAAGAAATTTAAAAAATTATGTGCGTCGATAATAACGTTTGTGTTGTGAAGTTCATATTCACCAAAATTACCCGGATCACTTTGTAAGTACGTGGTTAAACCATGAACACCCATGTTGACTGTGATGGCAAAAATTAGGGGAAATTACTTCAACTTCGCATTATTTCACTTTTTCAATGTCTACGATAACTTTGTTGAACACTTGACAAAAAGAATAGAAATTTTAACAAGCAATTCATATACATGTATATAGATATTTGAATAGAAAGAGTAAGAAGTCGATAATTTGATGCTATTTGTAATAATGAAACATATTTACATGGAGAAAATCAACTCAATTGTACAAGCTGCTCTATAACGTAGGTAAATGACGACGAAGGGATAAGAATTCTTTATAGTGCATTAAAAATTTCTCGTATGTTCATCTAGGAATTAAAGGATATAATAAGAATAATAATAAGTAAATAACTATATGTAGGTCTCGCATGCATGTCAGAGTTCTGTCTTGTGAGGTCTGTTCTGTTTGGTGAAAAATAACATTCTTGAATACTTGAACCAAAACAGACGGCGTGGTTATACGAGACTACCAGTAGTGTTTTCTCCGAGTCCAGTCGCTGTTAGCGGATGCAGAATTAAGAAGCGTTGAGGGAGAATCCTGCGGAATAGTTCACAACGGTAGGAAAACAAGACGACTAAAGTGATTGAAATGTTGGCGAGTGATGACAAAGAAAACTCTGTGTGCTTATGGAAGTGTTTGGAGGGTTATTACTTCCCGTCTACCCACAGCGTCCAACATTTTTGTGCAGTATCTGAAACAGTATGAGCTCAGAATACAACGGCTTGAGGCGGTCATACACATCCTGCTTGAAGCATCTCATAGAATTTTGTCAGAATTGGGATGTAACCGCCGACTACAGAGTGCCACAATATTAAGTTGAGATGTACGGTAACCGGGGTTGACGACTTATAACCCCTTCTCATAAGGGGATAGACAGCATAGCTGCCTCACTGGTCATCATAGGGAGATATTCCACTGCTGTTATATCCCTAAACTCTAGCAGTAGAATATCATCTTGGGAACCCCAACAGTGTAAACAACGAAAAGAACAATGGTAACCGATTCAGCCTAACAACAATCCAGGCTACAAATTTAGCATTATCTCAAACGTAGCCATTCTCAAACTCTTCACCGAAAACACACTCATCACAGATTCATTTGATTCCAAATCCAGAATACAAAACCGGAAGAATACTGAAGAAGACGTTATGGTAGGCTGTGATATTAACTGATTCTATACAAGCATTCCCATTGATAGTTGTCTAGATACCATTTTGAGTTTACTAGAATCGGACACAAGCCACTCAGAACACGAGTGGTCGGCACATACATACCTTAAGAGATTACAGAGTTTTCATGAGTTTTACATCTGAAGAAAATGTTTACACACAATCTTTACGTTTATTTCTCTCTGAGATTTACTACTTTCATCGTTGTTTCACCAAAAAAATAAACACTCACAATACAAACATATTTTGTATATGTATTGCATACTATAACGACTTAAAAATCCCCAGTGAGTCCTGAGAGCTAATTAAGGAGCCGTTTTTCTCAGATATAATCTCACTTATGATTTGCCTTCTCCCTCCCGTTTCCCTGATGTGTCTAAAGAGTTACCTAGTGTTGCCTATCGCCGATGCTTTTTGCATCTCCTTCGCCTTTGTCACCCACCACTGTTCACGGTCCTTGCGGAGACTTTTCGTATGTCTCCTTTTGTGCAGCTTTCGCTCCTCATTGAATTCGGAGCTCGCCGGAATAAGTCTTCTAGCATCTATCAGTTCGGATGAGGCGGTGGAGATCCAGTGGTTTTTACTCACCTTTGGGTTTACCTTATTCACAGCTTTTACAGCTGTATCTATGGCTGCCTGAATATTCTTCCAAGCTTCTTCAGGGTGAGCACAGCTGTCGAACACAGATATGTGTTTAGCTAGTTCTTCCTGAAATACGGATTTAGTTTCCTGATCGAGCTGGGGACGTGATGGTTTTACCGCCAGCTGTTTCCTACGTCCGTTCAGTCGTAAGCACACCCGAGCGCGGACCAGTGCATGGTCGGTATCTACGCACGTGTTCCAGAAGGAGCGACAATCTCCTACCGACCCACGCCAACGATAGCTTATTGCTATGTGGTCTATTTGTGTCCAGCGTTGGTTTGATGAAGGGGGTCTCCAAGTCAAACAGTGTCTCTCCTTGTGTTTAAAGTTAGTGCTTACAAGAAACAAATGATTATCAGAGCAGAACTGTAGGAGACGGTCACCGTTGTCGGTTCGCTGGCACGGAACTCCATAGGTGCCACCGACATCCTTCTCAGATTGACACAATTTCCCTACTTGAGCGTTAAAGTCACCAGCTAGAACGACTATGTCTGAGCGTTTAGCCTTTCCACCAAACTAGACAGCTTTTGGTAGAACTCATCCTTCGTTTCATCTGAACTGCAGTCAGTGGGGGCGTAGGCGGAGATTACGAAAAGGCATCGGCGAGTAGTGCAGTCCTTCCTCCTTCTTACTGATCCGTTCAGGCGGACAGCACACATTCGGCTATCTACCGGGATCCAGTCAAGCAATGTCTTTTCTGCCCTAGTACTCAAAGCTATCCCTACGCCAGCTAATCCTCGTGAACTAGCTGTGGCATCTCCTGACACCCTCAGGGTGAATTTTGCAGATTCAACCTGTTGGCCAGGTGGGGTTAGGTGAATAACCACACTTGGGTCTTGTATGCGTGTTTCTGAAACACAGCATACATCAATGGCTCGTGATGCC